TCATATTAAGGAGAGCCCCATACTCAGCTACATTTGTGTATAAGAGACATTGAGCAACATAAAAGGTAACACACAGGAGAAGAAGTAATACTACTGCTTGTAGTATTTTATGTAGTTGCTGGTTCCCCATAATATTTGTACTCATCATTACATTTCTCATGTATTTACAGGGAGAGTAGGATAGTAGATGTTGCATTAAAAAGAATAAATAGTTAAGAAGAAAATTCATTGTATAGGCACATTGTACCATATTGTGGGATCAGTCTAATGGCATCTATTTGATATAAATCCTGGATAGATTTGCATAAGAAATAGAGCACTAACAATAGAAATTATGACATTTAACAAGCACATTTTGTGACAAAGTTTCTACAACACTAATAAAAAAAAAACAACACTAAACAAAAATCAGAGACTTTTTTTTCAAATATTTTTACTAAATGAAATTAATTTGGGACGGTTGGAAAATATGAAATAATTGTGACTGTCTGCCTGTAACTGTATGTGACTATCTGCCTGTAACTGGGTATGTGGGATGCAGGGGTTTGTAGGAGAGGAGCAGGACAGGAGTTTTTTAGAAGGAACTGACAGGGGTTTTACAAAGTTTACAAATTTGTTCAATACATAAAAATAAAAATAAAAGAAACGTAAAAAAAAATCAAGTGTTTTTTAAATTGTTTTGTGAGTGTGAGTCGAGGGGTGCAAAACACGTTACCCGCCCTGGGTGCCAAATGCTATAGGCACACCCTTGTGTTAGCCCACCCATTGTACAGCGCTGCAGGGAGCGCTCCGGGATTAATTTTATCTATAGGTCCCATTTATAATTCCTCTTCTGAGTAAAAATTTGGTACTTCTGTATTCCTGTTTCCATATTTAGTTGGAAGAGGAGTTGATTTTTTAACCTCAATCCATAATGGCGGCATACAGGATTTCCAATTCCTGGCTATTATAATTTTTGCTGCCAGCAAAGTATGTACTACTATGTCATACTCTGCTTTGGGCAATTTTCAAAAATTTTAATGTAATAAATAGGATTCTGGCTTAAGTGGGAGTTTGATCTTACTGATTGCTTGGATTTTGACCTTTATCTGTCCCCAAAACCTCAGAATTGGTTCGCAATTCCACCATATATGTAATAAATCGCCTTTCTGTGATTCACATCTCCAACACCTATCAGTGTGGCCAGACCACATTGTGTTTAGGCGACTCGGAACCAGGTAAATGTGATTATTGAGCTTAAATTGCATCTCTGTTAAATTCAGGCATCTTACTGATTTACAAACTTATTGAAAAGCTCCTATTAATTATTTTTGAGTGATTCTAACTTGTATGTCCCTTTCCCATTTCTCTGCGGCCCTAGTTGAGCTTATTTTTCTCCCCAATCTTAGCAGTTCTTTACATAGAGCTAGCATACTTTTTGATTTAGTCTTTCTTTGGATTATTTGTATCTTTGTAATTATTTCTTTAGGTTCAAGACATAAATGTTTCCTAATGTATCCTTTTTATTCGTAAGTAATTAAACATTTCTCCTTTAAGTTCTTGTGCTTTTTCAGAAATTTCTGTCAACGTTAAATACGTTTATCCACTAGTAAGTCATTTATTGTCCTTAAACCACTACTATATCATTTGCTCAAATTAATGTATTTTATATTATTTGCAATATTTTCCAGAGAAGTATTTATTAGGACTTTGTAATTTAACTTTGTTTTCTTCCTAAATTTCTACCAATTAGTTAAATGTGCCTCATGATTAAACACCTTCCAACTATTGGCTTTTTTGATGCTTCTGTTGTCCAGAATTCATACCCTTAGTCTTTCTGATGTGTTAGGTCTTTTTCCACCAGTTTTCTTCTCTTGATGATTTCTTTTGTGCCATAAATGCATGCATCAACATGTTTGATTATTCATATATATCTGGCATAGGAAGACCACCTTGAGCAGGTTTCAATTTAAGACAATCTAGTTTTAACCTCGGTTTTTTACTGCGCCAGACAAAGTTCCTAAATGTAGCCTGAATCATAGATAGCCAGCTACTAAAATCGGACTAAAGGGGCTACCATACGGAAACGATATAACCATCTGGGGAAGACATATAATCTTTAAATATTTATTCTTCCCTAGAATGAGAATTCCATCTTTCCCCAATCTTTCAACTGTTTAGATGTTTGTTTAAGAAGAGGTAAGAAATGTGCCACTATTATTTTGTTTGGGTCCAAGCATATCGTCATACCCAAATATTTCACACTTGATGACAAAACAAATCTATATTTATTTTTCAATAACTCTTTAGTTTGAACTGAAACATTATTTATTAAAGTTGTTGTTTTGTTAAAATTAAGCATGTAACCAGACACCTCAGAGAATTGTTCTATAACCCTAACCGTTTCTTCCAAGGAGTTTTCAGGTTCTTCTAAGGTCATTATCACATCATTTGCATAAAGGTTTAATTTCAATTCGCCAAAATTTGTTCTGAACCCTTTAATCTTTTTATTTCCTCTAATCTAGTGTCATTATATATAAAATTGGGGAGAGCGGACAACCCTGCCTGGTTACATTTGCCAGCCCGAACCAGTCAGAGCAGCACCTCCCCCTCCCGCCCCCCGAGTACCTTAGTAGTTGGAGCTGAATACAGGGCCATAATGTCCTCCAACATTCACCCATTAAAACCAAATTTCCTTAAGACTTTCCTGAGGAAATCTAAAGATAGCGACAGGTGAGGTCTTCCCTCTGTTTGCACTGCATCCAAAATGTCCATCAATCTCCTGATGTTATTTATGAATGATCTTCCAGCGACGAAACCCACCTGGTTCAGATGGATCAACGTGGAAACAACCTGCTTTATCCGCTCTGCCAATACCGCAGAGTTAACTTTAATAACGGTATTAATGAGCAACATAGGTCGATAATTACTAATCAGTTCAGGGTCTTTCCCTTCTTTCGGTATTGTTATAATATTTGCTTGCAATAGTTCTTTAGGTACTTCTTTCCCTTCCGCTATCACGTTAAATGTATTAGTCAGGGGTCCTTTTTTTACCCTCTTTTATTATTCTATAAAATGAGTTATTAAAATCATCTGGGTCTGGTGATTTCCCCTCTTTCAACTTGTCTATGGCCTTTTCTTCCTCATTCTCAGAGATCTTTGTATTTAATATTTTAGATTGATTTTCTGTTAAATGAGGTAGATTTATTTTATCCAAAATAGTCTGTTATTTGTACTGGGTTAGGTTTATTTTGAAGGTTATACAATTGGTAATAGAATTATTTAAAGGCTATCCCAACCTTTTCCGGAGTCAGTAGTATCTCCTTCTTTGACCTTATTAAAGTAATGTTTTTCTTTGCTTTTATTTTTTTAATCTATTAGACTTTGTTTTACTAACCTTGTTCCCTTGATAGTACCATTTCCTATTAAGACGTTCTAAACCTCTGTTAACTCTATCCATAAGTAAGTCTTTTATGGTTTTTCCACCTCCACTATTTTTTGTTGTATCTCCCTGTCTGGATTAAGTTTATTTTGTCTAGTTAACTCCTCAAGATAATATAGTAATCTGCTAATTAATATGAATTTGTCTTTTTTTCCTCTAGCTCCCATTTTAATCAACTCCCCTCTGATCACACATTTATACGCACACCATGTCATGGGGGAAGCAACCTCTCTATCCCAGTGTTCTTTAAAGAAATTCTCTGTTATTTTTTTCAGTTGTTGTTGATATTATTCTTTATTTAACAAAAGATTATTTATCCTCCTGTTATTTCGTCCACTATTTTGCATTTCTTTTAGGTTTGTGGTCTGATCACACTAAGATTTTGATGTCTATTTTTTAAATTAATTTAGAAAGAAGGTGGAGCCTATTCATCCGTGATGAACAAAACAGATATGAATTGACAGGAAGTGACATCGCCGAAATTGAACGTCAGAGGCTTAGAATACAGGGAGAACACACTTAAAGAGAATTACAGCACTTAGGAACCATATAAAAACAGAATGTGGGACTTGATGGCTTACTGCACCAGACTGAAGAAGCCATTCCGGCGAAACGTGTCTCTGGGACTAGTACAATATTATGTGATATTTTAATTGTAATAAAGTATGTAATTTTTAAGGTTTATACTTTTATTCATTTATTTTTTTACCTTCAATGTTCCTGCATTCTACAACCTAAGGTGGTATGGTCTCTAATCATACTCTGCTGTTCAACTTGGCCAAGTACATGGCTATAGTCTTGTGAGTGTTTTGCCTATTTATACGAAAATATATTACAAACGGTATCTCACTATATATGTTTCCTCTGTTTCCTTGAGATACTGCATACTACTGCTGAATACACAGAACAATCTTAAACTACTCTTCATAAAGAAAAAGGAGCAGATCGCCTAAACGAACCTACAGGTAAATAACTCCTCGAGGTAGCTGATTTTTGGAGAATTACACATTACAGTGTGGTAGCGGCTAAAGAGATTAATTATTTTGCACTGTTAATTTACATAACACTTGCACTTTAAATAAGCGCTCATACACATCAACTGTGAACATTATACATTTTATTCACTTTAATGGACACACTTCTAAGAGATATATTGATATGGAGCTCTGGTGGGATATAATCCAACATACTAAAAGAATTAGATTTGTAAATGAGGCTTGAGAGGTCAGAAAAAAAATAGAGAGATTTGGGTTCCAAAGAAGAATTGTCTCTCATAAAGATGAACTCTTGAGAGGTATGCTGTTCCAAACTCATGGTATGTTTCCACATCAGCAACCACATTGTTAGTTGTGTAGTGTATAGAAAACCTGTTTTTTAAGCTGTATTCCTTGCAATTTAGTGTTCCGTTAATATTGCAATAAATGAATAAAATAAAAATTGGCTCTCCTCTGCAGGCAACTTGTCTAATCCGTATATCTGTCAGTTCTTCCCAAACAGATAATATAGCACTTACTGGTTATGTTGGTATTTTTATAGCATCAAAGAGAACTCCACACACAATAATACACAGCAAATGGCAGTTTTGTTGCACTTTATTTATTGTGTTTACTATGTCTACAATTACTCATTTAAGTGATCAAATTACACAAAATATCTCCTCTGAAAACTTATTGCTATGAGTAAATTTCTTTAACTTGGAAGCAATCTCTTCTCAATCGGATTTTCCATTCTAAACAACAACAAGAAGCAAAGATTTTAACAGAGGCAAATACATAGGAATTAAACACAAACTGACACACCACTGTCTGCATTGAATAACTGAGATTTATGATTAAACACCACTAGGTAAAAATCAGTGTCTTATTGCTGCATTGCTGCATGTTATGCTTGATTTTAAATAAACTCTAAGCAAGCAAATTGTCTAGGCTGCACGTGTCATGGGCTCACAGGTGCATGCCAATGATGACTATAATGTCAGTGCATTATGGAGGGACCTGACCCACACATTATGGAGGGACCTGACCCACACACTTCTATAAGGGCCTCCTCATGCCCGGACAGCTCTGTGCTGCCTCACTATTACAATTCTACATCAATTTTATTGACCCTAGTTTATCCCACTGCTCCTGAATCTATTGTTTGTTAATTAAGTCTGCTTTCTGGTAGCTGTCCTGATTAGTGGTGTTACTAGAAGTGTGTGCTATTAATGGCATATTATATAGCAAAGGTTGGTCGCAGGAACCGCACTCACCCCCAACGGCCACAGGTGCTCTTGAACAGGACCAGCAATCCCAACACGATAAGGCAATAAGAAAAATTTACAGGCACTCCAATGCACGCTGTGCATTTTGTTGCAATAAATCTGCCTGTGGCTTTCACAATTGGAGTGCCTGTGAATTTTTCTTATTGCATAAATGGCATATTAGGCTCATCTAGATTGTAAACTTTGAGCAGGTTCCTCTGCAAACTATTGTTCCTGTAACATTTTGTAATTGTGTAATTTATTGTTCCTCCTTTATAATATTCTAAAGAGCTGCAGAATAAGCTCCCGCTATATAAATTCAAATAGTAAAAGTAATAATAATAATAATGCTCCTAAAATTGTAATTGTAATTTTCATCAAAAATTGTAATAATGGCAGATCAATTCAGTCCTGCATTTCTGATTGTATTATTTTGCTGTCTTGTGAATTAATCTGTATTTAAATATGTAATTCAGAAACAATGCATAGGAAATGTACAAGTGTTTAAAAAACAGTTAGTTGTAGATTGACTCTTACTTTCTTTTTCTTTGGAGGGATGACATTTGAGGGCACACAGGTGGCAACACAGCGCTTTCTGCAGCAGACTAATGGCTCAGCGCAGTCCTCATCCTCACTGCAGACTGTCACTATAAGGGTCAGATTTCTTAATATTAATACTTTAACAAGACGCTAAGCAGTATCAACTTGTTTTATATGTAATTATTAATGTGATATAGAACAGAGAAAATGAATGTGTCGATCTGAAGTCATGCAAGATATTGCTAGTTCTGAGAGATACGATGTAGAGATGATTTCATAATTCTATGTCCAACAGCATTCCACCCATTGTCCAAACATGGAGTGAGGTTTTGTTAACCATCTTCAATATCTAGTTTTGTTTATATTTCTTTTTTGTTTGTGTGTAAAAAATACAGCCTAACATTAATATGAAGCATGAGACATTTCTTGAACACAGACGGTTATTCATAAAGTGAGAATTGTCGGGAATTCATTGTGAATTTCAAAATTAAGGCCAAAGTAACCAAATTAGAATTTGTGTGTTAACCCGACTTGTGACAATAAGCCCAGATATGCTAAAGTTTTGACAGGCACCGCTGTCAGTACATTTATCAACTAAGCCCTCAGTGAATACTTTTCTAGCAACCTACTTCATTACCCCTACTTTTACCCTTTGTGTCACTATACCCTACTCCCTCTAGCATGTAAAGCTCATTGGGCAGGGCCCTCAACCACTTTGTTCCTGAGCATCCACTTGTCTTGTTACATTTACGTGTCACTTAGTCCACCCATTGTGCAGCGCTTCAGAGCGCTATATAAATAACTAAATAATAATAAAATAATAATCAACTGACTGATTTCTATAGCTGCTAAAACTATACTTCTAACATTTTGAAGTTCTAAAGTTTTATTTCAGTTTTGAATCATTGCGCATGCACTCACTGTAGATTGGATCGATACACTTTAATCCACAGCTGGTGTCACAACACTTCTGGATTCCGGAGCAACTGGCGTCTGAGGTGCAATTTACAGCTGTGCAGTTGGTTCCATTCCCACAGGAGGTGGGGCATTCAGGTAGAGAGGCGTTAGGAGAGCTTCCATGATTTGGGCAGTGACCTCTCCTCTCTATGTTTTCTTCTGATGAAATATCTGACAAAGATAAAATTCACTGTTAAACACATGCACTCAAGAAAATATCAGTCTCCAATTTCTATTATTTAGGTATTTGTGCCCTCGTTTTACCTTGTTTGAACGGAATTATGATGTAATTTACTAAATATTTAATATACATTGTGACAGAAAGCAAGGAATTGTGCTGGAAGGAACCTATATACCTCCCCAGATTTTGCAAGGTTCTTACTTTGTGTAATTAACCCCAGGGGGAGTATGTGTAGTTTGTGTTTTGCACAACACAACGCATTGTTTAGTTATGGGCCCCTGGGGTGGAGTATTTGGAGAGAAGGGTGGGCCAATGCTCCACTCCACATTTTGGAAGTTGCTTGGTGAGAAGTCCAGTTCTGGAGTTTGAATCCTAATCTAACTCACCTGAAAAGGATTGTCAATTACCAGTGCTATTAAGTACTCCCCTGCCAAGGAAGAAGGGAGATTGTGTTTGGTTTCTGTGAGTGGAAACAGAGAGCTGAAAACCCTGAAGCAGTAAGGCTGTTTATGTTTATGTTTATGTTTATGTTGGGAAATGGACAAGCCATCCAACCCAGTTAGCTGATTATTTTGTTTAGTTAGTGCTCAGAAGAGCAAGGCTTTTGTTTGAGATATTTTTGTTACCTTTATACTTTACTGTGCATTTATTTTGGAACCTCAATAAAAGAGCAAGTCAGTTTACCTCATCCAGCGTGTGAAGTGTCTCTAAAGCCTGAAAAGACTGTGTGTAACACCCCAATCCCAGGACAAGGTACCAAGGGAAAGGAGTACTTTTGTCACAACATTTAAAAGAAAATGGAAGATCTCATTAAAACAAAGACTAAAATCATCTCAGTGCTGAATTTTTCAATTGTCTTATTACATATGCTTAAATATATATTTAGAAATAAAACATCATCATAAGGATTTTCCAGAAGTCTTTTATTGCAATGGGAGAGGCAATGCCACTGCAGTAAAATTAAAAATAATAATAGTTTGGGCCTTGACAAAATTTGCTGTACCTGTAGAAACCAATCAGAACTCAATGAAATTATCATGAATTGCCAGATTTGCACTTTTTGTTGACTCTAGCACTGTGTTTTCCATAATAATTCAATACCCATCTAGGACTTCCTGTTAGCACCTTGTCATTTTGAATTAGTTTCTACTTTCAGACATTTCTACTTTGATGCACCGGAGGAAAACTGGAATAGATCAGATCATTTGTCGAATTTCCAGATTCTGATTGGTTTCTGTCATCATAATTTCAGTAATATTTTTAGAGAATAGAATTCCATCATGGCACCTTTGCTTGTTGTTAATTATATGGTAATTACTGTGGAAATGGCTATAGAAAGTAGGTCGCGTAGACTTAACTGTGACGAAGCAGATATGTAATGCACAAATATCTACAGTGCCTATGTCATCCAATGTTTGTTGAACACTTTTCTTCTAAGTGTTCCTGGACTACATTTGCCATAATGCCTTAGCTTAAGAATAGATCCAAAAGGTACTGTCTTGATTTGTGACTTGATAAAATATACCGCTACTTTATACGGTTGCATGAAACATGTCTGTCCAAGATAACACAGATCTGAAACCTTTACATAGGAATATATTAAATATAAATTGAGGTTTTAAATTCTACCCCAAATAAAAATCTCTATCTGAACCAACATAAAAACTGATAGAATTCTCAGATATTGCAATAGAGTTTACATGATCTATTATTCATTCTTCTTCTTGTGTTCTAAAATGTTAGATACAGACATGTATCTGTTTACTATAAATCTTTGTACAAATTACTACTATGGTCATTACTAGAAATATCTTTAGAAATTACAAGCCACTCTGTTGGAGAATGTATTAGTCTAACATACATTTTTTTTGCTGTACTACATATGATTATTTTCTACTTTACCATGATCTTTTTCTCCATCATGAGCCTGAGACAGATCCAGCAGCACAGTGAAGATCAGCACTCTAATCATAGTGGAATGTTCTTCAAGAAACCACGGAGAGAACTGAACTGGAGAACCTGTGATCGATGAGAGATTGAGGGTGTTCTGTGTATTTATACCCTGTAACCTACTATATTATACCCTGTAACAATAATATTACACATACAACTATGTCTTCTGGGCATATGATCTTAAAATAGAAACTCGTGATTTTAAAGACATAAAAAGACTTATCTAACAGCCAGAACAACATGAGATCATCTAAAACATGCAAAAAAAGTACATGGAAAGATAAAACCACTAGGATCAGACCCAACCCAAAAAACAATGCAAAAGTCATCGAACTGCAAAAATCCATTCTTATTTTTTTTATTTGTTTTACGTTAAACCTTCCACTATCAGTTACTTCTCCTTTTAAACAATTCACCATGTGATAAAAGCTAAGGTTGCCTTTTGAAAACCACACTCGTACAGTTCTTGTGATCAGTGTATTGAAACTAAATAAATCTGTTATATAATATACTAAGATTGCGAATTGACCTTTTTAAGTTGCTGAAAATGAAGTCACACAGGAAACTGTTTTCCCAGGCTAAGGCTGTCAGAACTCAAATACAGTGATCAATACAAGTTGTCAAATTAAAATAGTTTCTAGGAAGTATTAATATACAATAGACAATCAAGTAGTAATAAAACAGATTTTTTTAAATCTATCAGAATAAATTGAAATAATCCTCCAACAATCTTTATTTTGTTTTTTCTAGTTAACCGCAACATGTCCAACAATGCAAGAGAACAAACATCACATCACACAGTCAAATACATGGCAATAGATAAGTAGGTTCAACCGATTTCATAGCCGACATTGAGTCAATTAGCTTATAGCAAACAAAATCCCAGATGGAAAAGTACTATGGCAGATCTAACAAGGGTCTGTATATCCAACCTTCTAAGGTATAATCAAGGTCTAGGCTAAGTGTTATGGGGATATATTTAAGCATTATATATTTAATATATGTACAAGGCTAGGTACATGAATCATGGTCCCCCGTGCCCATCTTGCCACCCACTTTAGTCAGCTGTCCCCCAAAAAGTATTAAGGAAATCTGTCAAGAGTTAAGGATGGGAAGGAGGGGGAGAGAAGAAAAAGAGAGAGCACGAGAGAGAGAGGGGAAAAAAGGAGGGAGAATGGGTGGAAGGGAGGGAGGGAGGGAAAAAAGTGCTTAAATTGGTGCAGGCGTCCATCCAACCGCCATCGTCACCCACACCCAAGTCTTCAAAACGACGTGCTCCACAGGCACTGGTCAGCCATCTGATATATTAAGAGGCGGTCCCCTCCACCATATCATTCCCTGGCCAGGTTCCGAGCGGCACAACACAGGAAGGTCAAACAAGTCTCTTGTTCTGTAAATGGCAGGATCCTCCAGACCAGTCACAAGTCCCCAAGAACGTCGAAGTGCACAGCTTCTAGACCAGGCTAGCTGGGCGTTATGCTAAATAGTCACACCATGCAGCCCAGGTTTGAGCACTCATCCTGCAAACCTTTGTATACACCACTAGATCGCATTTAAAGGGCAGTATGACCCTGCTCCAAATTTTACTAAATATATAATGGAAAACACATTATATTCTGGTCAGTAGCGATGTGCAATCTTTATACATCAGTATTCCTCACAATATAGGTTGCAATGCAATAATGAATATGCTTGAAAAACATGGAAATATCTCTACCTTACAAATAGATTTTTACTGTTGGACATGTTCAAATATGATGGGCAAGAGTGGAAAGGTGTAATCTAAAGAAGCCAAGACTAGCAAAATGTGTCACCACGTTGTACTTTTCTACATCATCACACAGCTACGTCATTGATGCAGGATGTCACAGGCCCCACCACCGGAGTGCCTCATAACGCCAGAAGTGCTGGAAACTGGTGGAACTGAAGGTGTGTACAAGTGGATTTGTGTGATGAAGGGGCCATTAGACTTACCTGCTAGTTTTAAAGTGCTTTCTGTTACAATAAAACTGTTTCATTGCCACTTCAAATGTCCATCATTTCATGTGAGAAGCTGCATTCCTGGAATACTGGAGAGTGATTTTGAGTGCAGATAGCCTGAGCAGTCTCATACGTGCTTAATGTTTGTGTGAGTACTAGATACATATTATCAATATTGTCATTTATGTAGTTACATTATAATACTATATGTTCTATTATGTTTCTTTTGCATGTTGTGGTATTGCCCTGATCAAGTACTGTAAGTGAAAAAAATGCACTTTATACCACATTGACAATTTGCACAATTACTTTAATTGCAGTAATTTTTTGTTTGCACAGAATAATATAAGAACTTATTGTGTTTATATCTTGTGCACTTTATTGTACATAAACACTTGCTTTGTGTGTTGAAAATGTTTTGTTTTGCACAAGAAATTGTTGGCACAATCTGAACGTCACAGCGCACTTTATAATTGGGTTATAATGTTTTGAGCTAATACATTGTTAAGGTGCTGCTGATTTAAATTACTTAATTATTATATTGAAATAAAATGTTTTAGCACCATCTATACTTTTTGCAGGGTTTCTTGGCTCCACAAATACTTGCCTTATCCCACGGTTCTAAAGCTGGCCCGACAGGGGAACCTCGTTAATCCGACACCTCATGGTATTGAGAAGACACTAAGTATTCCAGTGGAGTTTTCCCCAGCTTGTTGCGTTGGTGCTCTGAACTGCCCACTTTAAGGCCTAGCATGGGATCGGTGGGAGTGGTGGACGACTTCTCAGCTAAGACCCTGCAGGCTGATCTGCAGCTGAGACGCGTATTTTCACCCCCTTGGACCTATACACCATCAGTAATACAGTACCACCAAAGCCTTCTGTTGGCAAAAAGTGAAGAAGGACTTGGATTTTCTAAGTTTCTGAGTACATGACAAACAGATGCCGGCCTCCGTTTGGACCTGGGGCTGGAAGGATAGCTTTGCTTGCTCCCACTACGTCTGTACCTTCAGTAATCTCCTTGAACTAGCTGTGCATTTAATGATCTTTACAATCGGCTGAATGACCACATGCCTACGTGTATAGCCCCTCAGCACACACTTTTGTCTTACTTTCTCTTGTTATCTTACTATTTATATTTCTATTTTGTAATGCGAATAATGGTGACTTGGGAGGGCTTTGACACTCTGAAGACCTACAGTCTAAGATTTCAAAGCTTGTTACGTAGCATCACTTATACTCTAATCTGCTAATATTCATTTTCACTCAGCTCTACCACAGCAGATATATCTCTGTGGTTCATCAATGTTAGTTTTTATTTCAGGGTTTCATATGCATTATCTGTATACCTCTACTAACATTACATGTCTAGATACAATTTTACCTTAACATTACAAATTGCATAACTGACGTGTAGATGTAGATTTCTTCATGTCTTTCTGAACAAACAGAGTGTGCGTGTGTTGATTGAATTTATTCCTGTGATATTCTCTTATTTCTTCACTTGTTTAAAAAAACAAACAAAGGTGCAGCATATCAGGAATATTCCTAACTCTTATTCTCTCTCATGTTATATGTCATCACTAACACGTGTATTTAACCCTGCAATTCAAAAATAAACATTTTTTTTTAAATACTAGTTGAAAATATTGGAGATCTTGATAGAAACACCCTTTAAAAAACAAACCAAAAATAAACAGGATATAGTACTTCCTATAGTTTTGGATTATACTTATAACAGATATCAAATAAAAAATAAAAAAACATTACAAATATTGTAACACGCTCAAAGAGGATGGCATATTATGGGAAATTGTACCCAACAGACCCAACATTGTTTTTAGTAGAGCTCCCAATTTAAGATATTTTTAAGCCAAGACTTATACTAAAAAAAAAAAAAAATATCCTAATATAAAAATACAATTTTGAATAAACAAGGATTGTTTTTTAAGTGTAAAAAATTTTCTACCTGTGAAAATACTGATACATCTTTTAATACTATCAATAAATTTAAATGTAAAGTTACAAAAAAGAATATGAAATAAACAATTTTTTTACATGTAACACCAAAAACTTTATTTACGTATTAACGTGCCCTTGTGGCCTCTAAAACATAGGAATGACCACAAGAAGCAAGGATAGGTAAACACTGTAGAAATATTTTTAAAGGTTTTATTAATCATACGTCATCCAAACATTTTATATTACACAATAAAGACCCTAAACTCTTTGATTTTTACACCACTGATACATGTACTCTATAATGGTGGGGTGGTAACATTACAAAAATTGTAGGACATTGGGAAATGAAATGGGTATTTTATTTAGAATCCTTAATTGCTACTGGTTTTAATGCCGATTTTGACTTATACAATTTTTTGTAACCCTTTTTGTGTTTTTTCAAAGGGAAGGGGCCAATAATCATAATTCATGCACACAGTCAATGTTAAAAGTGTCGTCCGAATTGACGAACACATTTGACTCCCGTCGAAGAGTCGAAGTCCCGGAGAAGGTAAAGTTCAGCGGTATTCGTGCCGTCGCATGTTCGATTTGAGTTCCATGAACTCGACGACAAAACACAGCTGACCTCGTTCGACTAAGTAAGATGGCCGCCGCCACGTGTTCGACTATACAAATGGCGGCCTCTTAGACTACTTCGACACTTCGACTGTATCCGAAGTGCAATTTTGTTGAAGGGAAAGGGGTTTTTGGTGAATAAACAAAATGACGAATTTCTAACCCAGAGACAGAGGAACTGTCACACACATCAACATGTCTTCTACTTTGCACCATGCCGAGGAGTCAGCTGAACAAAAATGTCCCAATCAACTCTCTGCTTCTACTCTCAAATTCCTATCCTGGAATGTAAAGGGAGAAAATACACCCATCAAACGAAAGAAGATACTCACCTACCTCACTAAACATCAAGCCCAAATCACACTACTGCACGAAACTCATTGGTCACATTCTGTAGCCACTCAACTCAAGGCCCCCTGGATCCAGGTCTGTATTGTGGCTAAATATAACTCGAAAACCAGAGAGGTGGCGATCCTGCTGCACTCTAATTTGTAATATGTTATTCATAGTTGTGACATAGACCCCAAAGGCAGCTATATTTTCCTATGTCTTTCCATTGATGCTACTTTCTACCGTATTGTTAATGTATACGCTCCAAATGCATGTACTAAACTCTTTTT